CCCAAAATTTGCCCTCCCATTTCCTCAACATTTTCTCATCACAAGGCCCTTGGAGATCAAGATCCAGTTAGGGTTTCCTCTGCTCAAGACTTCTCCTTGCACTGTTGACCCAAATTAGGGTTTGTGATTGCACAAGGATATTTTGACCTAAAATGCCTAAGATGACTTTCATGCTTCATGTTGGACTCCCAAGTTTATCCACACCAAGTTTCAAGTCTTGATTCCAAATTTTGCCCAGTCAATTGGACAGTTGACCTAGAAATCAACTGTATTGGGGAAAAAGTCAACTGTGGCCAATTGAAAGTCAAATCTCATGAAAATTGACCCACATCAACATTATGAACTCACATGGACCATTTGATCAAGTTTGGATCACAATTCCACAAGGAATTTGATCAGATCATCAAAAGGGCAAAATGGTTATTTTTAGGGTTTTGATTGCACAAAGGCAACTTTTGACTGTTTGACCTAGCCAATGGAAAACCAAGCTCACATATGGACTCAAGGACCCCGTGGAATTATCTTGACATGCTCAACAAGTTCAAAGGATCCCAAATACACAAGATTGATAGTTGAATTTCTCAGTCAATTGATCAATTTTGACTGTATACTGAAAAGTCAAACTTTGACTTTTTGGTCAAAATCAAAAGTCAAGATTCATTTTTCATCAAAACATGCCAAATCATGAAACTTATTCACCAAGAAATCAAGAAATGCAAATTAGGGTTTGAAATGGAAATTTTTCATAACTTAGAATTTTTCTAAGTTATGGAAAACCCTAATTTTTTCCCAACTTTGCCCCACTTTCTCACCAAGATTCATTTGGATTCAAGCAAAAGTCAAAACATGAAAGTTGTAGCCTATTGCATAATCTACAACTTTGATTCACAAAGTTTTCACAAAAGAAGCTTTTATCTCAAGTTACAATTTTTGGAACAAGGGTACCAAACCATTCTTAACTTAGTGAAAATTTGACCTATTTTGGACAAGTTTTTAACCTAACTTCAAGGCCATTTTCCATACACTTCCACTTGGAATTTCAATTTGCATTTCAAAGATGGATTTTATTACAAATTCCAAGCTTTCCAAAATGTCCAAGAACTTCTCAAACAACCTCATAACTTGAGAGAATCGAATTTCACAATATGGCAAAAACTCACTTTTGAATTGGCTATTTTCCATGTTCATAATTTGTGCAAACTTCTCAAACCAGCACGCCCCTTGATTACAGGTCCTTAAACCATCCAACACTCAATAATTTAATGCATGTCCATTGTGCTAAGGCCTTGTTTCATGAGTTCAAGCATTGCCTAAAGGATTAATCCCAAATTGGAAAAAGCATTATATCCATTTTTGCAAAAGTTTCACTTTATGTCATAATACAAATCCACAAGTACAGATGAAATCTAATTGGCACAAGATTATGAGAAAAACACTCTGATCAAGGAGAGATTATGCAGCACATTAGGGGGCCTCTACCTGCCTAGAACACAACTTGGGCATTTGTTGCTTAAAGTGTAAGTAACATTGCATTTTGTACAACAACTTGGAGATCAGCTTACAAACCCTTAAGAAAACTTTTGAAACACATTCAAGACATCCCAACTGAGCTAACACACGACCCTAAGACCTCCAGTATCTCTCCATTGCCATAATCATTCTCAAACTGCAAAAACAGGGCAGGGCCTGCAGTTTGAGTGCCATCTCTCATTCCTCTCATGCTCTCTTGCCCAAACCTGATCAAACTCATTCCCTACCATCAATGCAAGCTAACCAAAACCTAAAATACGACCTGTAACTCCTCTAACCAGTTCCACCATTTTTGTTTTCTTGCTTTGCAGTTGAAGGTCCATAACTCGATTCAAGGTCTTTCAAAACAAAGTAAGCATTGGAATAGCATCACCACACCTCAAGGAAGCTATACCAATCATCACCTTGCACTGAAAGCTCCTCTATTGCCAGATAGAACTTCAACTGAACAGGTATCTTCTTGAACTTCTAACTCTTAGTACAGGCATCATTAGCTCTAGGTTTGTGAATAAGAAATGTTCTACTCATGCCACTGAACCTGTACATGTTTTTACTTTTCATTTCTTTTGCTTGAGCTGTGAGAATTTAAGGTTTGAATATGGCAGAAAAGTTAGGTCATGATTTGGGATTGTCCAAATTCTCTCTCATTTCTGAGAGTTAGGATGAGTTCTTTATATATTTGAAATCGTGATTCAATGCTTAACATTTCTTATGTTGGAAGTTTGTGCAAAAGATCAAGGAATCAGGATATTTGAATGGGAGTTCTTGCGCGCGTTTTCTGAATAATTTTGTGCAGAGGTTGAAGAAGAAGCCTCATGGGCTGGGCCAGCTTCTGTATTGCTTTTTACACCATATTTTTGATTCATACCCCCCTGAGCCCATTTGTTTGATTTTTATAATTTTTTGATCTTTCTTTTTATTTTTGACTCATTTATTTTTGCTAATAATGTTTAAAACTTGAAAAATCATTTTTACACCATTTTTGCATTTTTTAAGTATTTATTTGTTTATATGGGCATTTATACATAAATATATATATCTATTATTATTTAGAAAAGAACTAGAAAAAATAATGTAAATATATCTCACTTCTGATTTTATTTCATTTTTCCTTTTGAAAATATTTTATGCAAAATATACTTTTTTTATAAATAGTAAAATATTATTATTTTTATATATATAACTTATATTTAGAAATTAATACATATATATATATATATATATATATATATATATATATATATATATATATATATATATATATATATATATATATATATATATATATATATATATATATATATATATATATATATATATATATATATATATATATATATATATATATATATATATATATATATATATATATATATATATATATATATATATATATATATATATATGTATTTATTTATTAATATATTTAGGCTAAAATACAAAAAAATATATACATTTTTATTTTATTAATATTTAATGTGGAAAATACTTTTTTATGAATATACTCCATTTTATTTTATGTTTTATGTAATTATTAAATATTATACATATTAAATAGTTAATATATTTTATTTAATGAAATTAGGATTTTACACTTAGAATAAAATACCAAAATATACATATTTTTATTTTATCAATATTTAACACTAAAAATACATTTTTACAAATATATTTCATTTTTATTTTATTTTTGTATATAAATAATAAATATTGTATATATTGAATAAATAATACATTTTATTTAATAGTATTAGGGTTTAACCCTAAACATGAAAAAAACTCCAAAAAAAAATACTTTTCTTTTTGTTTATTTTGACACATAAAAATACTTTCTTCATACATACAAAAAACCATTTTTTGCATCTTTCATATTTATTCTTATCTTATTTAATTTGTGCAAATTAAATATCTTGTAAATAATTCCAAATTGATGTAATAGTTTAGGTTTAAATTTCTTGTCTAAATATCCCCCATTTGAACATTTGTACCCCCCTTCCCATATATGGTTTTGTAATAGCTTAGTAAATTTATTTTCGCACTTTATTGCTTTCTAATTATACCATGTTAGAATTAGGGTTTGTATGCGAAAAAACAACGAAAATAGTTTTGACCTAATTTCAAGATAAACAAGCATGAAAATGGACACACAAATCACACTTGCACCCCCTAGGGTATTCCACTTGTTGCCTTTCAAAATTGGGCCATATTGCATGTTAGGTCTCTTTGGGCTAAACAAACACAAATCAAATGATCATAGTCCCCCGATGACGCTTTCAAAAGTTGCCTAAACAAATGGTCAAGTCCCTTAAAGAAAAATGCCCAAAGATACTTGGCACCATTGCAATTATGGTCTAAAACGATGACCCGCGCCCGTCCCTTTCACATCCTAACATGAGATTGTCCACCAAATACAATGGTGGAACAAACTTGTTAAAAGGGTTAAAACATAGCAATAAATTTTGAGAAATTTTAGGAGTAGATAACCTCTTAGTTACTTGAATCAAACTTGCAAAAACAAAACACTTGCCTATTTTCCAAAACCACACCTCACCACACTTTCAAAACAACTTTCAAAAACAAATGAAAACCTTTTCAAAAGATATACATCTTTGTATACATCCCCACATGGATCATTACAAAGGTTGCCACCACATTGGCTTCTTTTCAAAACATTTTCAAACCCACACACACAAGCACCATTTCAAACAATTGAAAACAAAAGGCAAGTGATCTAAGCAAGTAACTAAGAGCCCATGGATAACCATGGATAGAAAGGGTGTTAATACCTTCCCTTTCTATAATCTACTCCCCGAACCCAAGGAAACATCTCAAAAGGTTTTTGCTGTGCTTTTTAACCTTTCCTTAGGATAAAATAAAAAGTCGGTGGTGACTCTTGCTCAACCGAAACATTTGCGAAAACAAACGCAAAACCACAGTCAGTTCTCCCACCGTATCACAACAATGATAATCAAATCGGAGAACTTTGGTTAGGGATTAGGTATTTTTTTTCTGATTAGAGCGATCCTTTTGATTCTTGCTTCTTCTTATGATGTGCGTTATTGATGATGCAATAAAGGTGTTAGTACGATGGAGATTGAAGAATTGTGCGTTGCCAAAAATTTGCAGAAGGATGCAGTTGTGATTCAGATGATAATTGAGGTTGCAGAGATTGCAGAGGAATTTTGTTAGAGGTTTTATGGTGATTTTCTCATAAATGTGAAGAATGGTGAAGATGAAGCAGGGAGAATTGGATGTTTTTTTGTGATTCTTTCAAAGAGTTAAAGAATGAAGATTAAGATTTGCAGAGAAAGATAAAAAAAGTCATAGATTTCTTGGAGTGTTTTGGTGATCCTTCATAATACTCTCTCCCCTCGTGAAAGGTGAGTTTTTTGTTAGAATGATTAATGATAAACAAATGGTGGAGAAAGTTGATAGAGGAAGGTTGTGGATAATTTTCGAGAGTGAAGGAGATGAAGAATCATGGAGGAAGAGATGAAGAATGGAGAGTAGAGTTTTTTGTGATGCTTTTCAAAATTGGAGAGTGGATGCAGGGAGAGGAAGAAGAGAGAATTTCAGAGAATTTCTTTGGTGAGTTTTTCTGTATTTTTTTGTGTCCATGAATGATCCTCCATCCCCTCTTTATTATTCGTTATAGGTATGTTGAAAGTAGTTAGAAATAGTTAGGAGGTTGGAAGAGTTAGTTACATGTTTTTGATAGAATTCTATTACGGTTAGAAACAGTTAGGAAGTTGTTAGAGTTCTATTAGTTGTTAGTAAGCTGTTAGTTAGGAATTCAGTTAACTCTGTTAGTTAGGGGTGAGGGTTAGTTAGTATGAGCTAGAAGTAGTTAGAGATCATTAGTTATGCTTGAGAAGAAATATACTATAACGGGTTAGAAATAGTTAGTGTTAGTTATGAACTGACTTGAGTTGGTTAGAAGTTAGTTGACTCACTGAGTCAATTTGGTTAATGGTGAAGAATTCGGTTATGAAAGTTACAAGGAAGTTAGAAGTTAAAAAAACTGTTAGAAACAATTAGTTGGCTGAAAAATTCTGTTACATATGCTAGAATTTCTAAATTCAATTTCTGATTTTTTGTTCTCTTTTATCTGATCAGTCTGATTTTCTGATACTTCTACTGATAAAAACTGATGAAGGGTAGTATTATTGTTTTTTTTTATTTTCTGAACTGTGATGTTAATTGGTTTTCTAATTTGAACAAGGCTGCCCATTTGTTGATGAAAATTTCTGAACTGATGAAGAATTGGTCATGTACGCATATGCGAGTCTGGGAAACAGGTTATTTATTTGGTGCAACAAGTTTTGTGACTGATTAGAATTTGGTGATTGAATTTGTATAGGGTTGTCTTGACATGATTCAATTGGCTCTTGGAGCTTGGGAAAAACTTTTGAAGGGAGCAAGAGAAGGTTAAAATCATGAAGATGAAACGAATCAGCTTGAAGACTTGAAGAATAGGTTTAGGATTAGGCTTGGAACCAAAAAATTTGTGTAATTGTGAATGTAATTGGATGGAACTTAGATGTTGTATGTATTTGAAATTTAGCTTTGTGATCTGAACTTGAATGATCTACCATGCTTTGAAATGTTTTTTTATAATGGAGACTTTGATTTCAAATTTGAACTACTTTCCCTCCATTATGCTTGTAACTTGAATGAAACAATCATAAATTTAAATGGAACCTTGGCCAAAAGTTAACTTTCCCAAATTGATGTTGAACTTTATCATGGGACACCTTCCTTCCAAAACTTGAATCCAATTTGATATCTCATAAAGAATTGAATCCAAATCCATTTATATGTCATGCCTAGATTTGAATAGTGGGAGATTAATTAAGTGAACTTGAAGATGGCAACTTGAACTACATGAATCTTCCAATCTTATCTTGGATCAACCATTGACAAATCATGAAATTGAGATCTTGAACCAATACTAATCTTGAGCACAATTAGAACTTTCAATGAATCCAATTGACATCTCATTTCTCTTGAAATCTTAGTTAACTTGTATTGAAACAACAAGTGTTTGAAAGAATGATGACATTTTGACCTCAATGAACTCACAACTTCATCTTCTGTACCATGGCTTGCATTTTGCAATCCAATCCACACTATGTCTTGACTTTATGGATAACAACAATGCCTTGAGGGCGCCTTGAAGTACAGAAAGAAATGTAATATGAAGCTCAATGAACCTCAGTCGATAGATATTACAAATTCACACATAGAAGATGTGACACCCTAATCCACTTGTGTTTGATGAATTCTTGATGGAGGATGACCTTGTAGCTTGATGAAGAAAAGATCCATAACATCCATGAACACAAAACCCTAATTCCAAATTTTCACTGCCTTGAAAAATAGCCATAAGAGTCAAGCTTTATTGAACATATACACCTCAGTCAGTTGTAAAAACCCTAGCTTCACAACTACTGATCTTTTGAACTTCATGCGCTTATTTTTCGAATGAAAATGCATGCTCTATTAGTAACCTAATGAAAAGATATGAATGTGATGCTAAACCTAAGCCAAATATAAGTGCAATTAGGGGGGGAAACTTTGAGGCGCAACAGCTAAAACAACCGGATGAAAATCATCAAACAATGAAGTTGCCATTGAACATCTTTTATCCCACATGAAGGGAAAGGTAAACATCAAGAAAACCTGAGAAGGGAGAAGTCACAGTCTTGCGACCGAGAGATATGGTAAGGGAGCATGTTACGCGAGGGGAAGGTATTAGCACCCCACACGCTCGTAGTACTCTATGATATCCACTCTTGTTATCTATCTTATAGGTGTGTCTAATATATGCTTATTGTTTATTACTTCTAAAGGGAGAATGCATGCAAAAGGAAGGAGAAAAAAATGTAGGGAAAATAAAGTTGTACTCGCTTGGGCCCTACCCCAATGCCTATGTATCCTTTTTGAGGAATCAGAGCTACCGTAGTTTGGCTGACATGTTTTTGTTTATTTTGTGTTTTTTATGGACGATGTTAATTCCGCCTTCTGCCTCAGCTCGACCTTTGGAGACTTATGCATTGGCACAGAAGTAAATTAATCATGTCCTTGCTGAAAATGGTTTTGAGTTACGCCCTCGAGGCAAGATGCCACATTTGATTGGTTTGTATTTTTTGTTGTAAATAATGACTAGTTGACCTCAAGAGAGAGATATTAGTCACTTTTTCATTTATCCATGAAAGGAGTCTTTGAGACATGAACCACACCTAGGCCTGAGATGGAAGAACAATAAGATCGAGAAGAGACCCGCTTATCATTTCCCATACTTAACAAAAGTATGATTCTCATCAGTAAATTTTTCAGTATTTTGAAGTTTGAAAGGAAAAAGAAGTTTTTGTTTTAATGCAAATGCAAAAGGAGAAAGAAAAGTCAAAGGGAGACTAGCCTATTTCTAAATCTAATGTTATTATGCACCATGGATCTAAAGTTTGAATTTCTAGGGGATTCTATCTAATGTTTGCATACTTGAATTTAAAAGCCTAATGTCTAATTTTAGTTCAACTAAATCGAAAATTAAATTTGAACCAAAATGAAAGAATATACAAACAATTAAAATCAGGTAGCAAGTATTAAATTATTGCATACAATCCATACCAAAAATCGCAAGTGAATACATGATATAAAATGAATAAAACTAGTGATTAAAATTGACTAAAAAGTTAGTAAAAAGGGAAGTAAGTTCCTAATTAATTTCTAAAATGCCTAATAATATTTTTACCATTTTTATTATGTATTTTTTCATTAAAAAATCATAAAAGAAAGAATAAAAAAAATTATGAAAATAAAATAAGAGAATAAGGGGGGTGCAATCGAAGCCAGGAGGTATGGCCCAGCAAGTTGGGCACTGGCCTGGTTAGTATGAAGCCCAATGCTGCTTTTTTTAGTATAATATTGACATGTTCCCCAAAAATGGTGGAATGGACTTAGGGCAAGAGAGTATTCGGTCCACTTAATTCAATTATCATCCAAACCCAATTCAGATTTTAGCCCATTATCCCTAAGTTTTTTTTGTCACACTGATTATTTAAAAAAAATAAAAAAGAATACAATTAAGAAAAAGAAAGAGGATTTAGGGATTTAGTATCGTGACGATCAACCTCCTTCGTTCCCCTTCTCCGTGAAACACGAATGGTGTCGCATCTATTCTCTCTGTCGTCTTCTCCTTCTATTGGCCTTCGTCTTCGAAGCTTCTCAACAGGCTTTGCATTATCTCAGACCTCCGCTTTGTTTTCACGGTGAACTCGCTTCAATCCCAGTCTCCGGTCCAGTTCACACTTTGTTCATCACTTTAGTGCGACACCATCATCGCGCTCGCAATCATCATCCTTCTGCCATGGCTTTAGTGCGGGTTCCCTCTGTATTTGTAATTCAGGATCTGATTCGCCTTTTTGACGCGCGTATTCGTTGTTGCGATGGTCTTTACGGAAGCTGAACAAGGATTTGAAGCGCGAAGGTGATGATGCAGATTGTAACATGTATGCTCGTGATGTGCAGATTCATTGATGAAGATGGCAAATGATTGAAGGCGTTCTTAAAGCTTCAAGAAGATGCAAAAGAAGATGATACTTGAAGAACATGAAGAGAAATGATGAAGGATCTGCAGAGGATTTTGCATAGGATAACTTAGAGGTGATTTCTTGATATTATTCTCTCTGAATTTCTGTTATGAACCATATAGAATAGACATATATTGGTATTTGGAGTTTTCTCAGTGTGGATAAGTTGTGTGTTCCTCTCCTCTTTCCATTCTCTCTTGTACATATTGTTGAGAGCTTTGATAAAATAGCTGGGAGGTTTATATAGATTGTTGAAGTTTAAGAAGCAATTGAGTGGGGAGTAATCTGAGCCTTTTAGATTGAGAAATTCAGTTATGAGATGGAGAGTTGTTGGTTTTCTGTTATTCTGTTTTTGGCAGTTAGATAAGCCAATTGTTAGTTTTTTGCTAGGTGTTGTTATATGGTTATGACAGTTAGGAGTTTAAAAGATATTAGGGAGTTGGTTAGGGAATTCTGGTTAGATGGAAGTTGTTATGAGATTTTCTATTATGGACAGTTAGGTTTTGGTTAGAGGCTAAAGCGGTTAGGATATGGTTAGAGGTTAGTTGATTTAGTTATGTAGGGCTGATTATTGTTAAGTGTATTAACGATTTAGTTTATGGACTCGGAAAAGAGTTTCAGTTTTCTTTTTGGTAGGAGGTGCATCCATGCTAGCATTAGATTTTGACAGCTTTGGTGAATGGAATATGTTTGGCCTGTTAGACTTACTTTGATATCGATTTGATGTTGCAAGTTTGTGTATTAATGATGGTGTGATCGGTTTATATGCTTATTGTGATCGGTGGATCTGGAACTGACTGTTTAACGCTGGTTCGCGAAATGTCGCGGTAAGTAAGAGTCGCCACCGTCTTTTATTTTCTCCAACATGGACAGGACAAAAGCACAGCAAAATTCCTTATGAGATAGTTTCTCGGTTCGGAAGGTATATTTATAGAAAGGGAAGGTGTTAGCACCCTTTCTATCTGTAGGTGTTTAGGTATTGGCTTGCATTTTTGGTAAATCCCAAGTGTATGTGTGAATGTCATGACTGATGTCATAACATTCTAGTTCAGTTTGTACTGACTCATTAGGTACCTTTGCAGAAAAATATTGTAATTGAAGTACTGATGTTTATAAATGTGTATCTGAGCATTTTGCAAAATGATCACATTTTGCTAAATCAGTAGACAGGTTTTCTCAGATGTCATAACAGATGTTATGACATCCTGTTCTGAACTAACAGGTTTGCAGGATGGATAAGTCTGAGTTTTTTCAGGAAATAACTCAGTCTTTCCTGAACAGAATCCTGCGTTTTCTGAGGGGTAACCTAGCTCAACCCTAACCTGGTTAATAAAGTCCTGTGACCTGGTCTTTAGGTCAAACGGAATTAACCCTAGGTTTTTGTGGAAACCCTAACTGAAGTTGCAGCTGCTATATATTCAACAGAGCTGCTTTTTTTCAACCGATCCCTCTTGATTGATTAGAAGATCATTTGTAATCTGTATAGATTTGATTATTGTACTCCAAGCAATTATCATTGTGATAAGTGCCTTGGAATAGGTTTCTAATTGTAAGGGTTGTGTAGCACTCAAAGCTTTGAAGCAAGAGTGTTTGAATGTTCCTTGACTAAAGCTGTGAAGCAGAGTCAAGTTAGTTGTGTGCATCACTCAAAGCTGTGAAGCACGAGTGATTGTGTTGCTTGATTAAAAAGCTGTGAAGCTTAATCAAGTGTTTGTTTTTGAAGAGTGTCTTCATCAATTCTTAAGTCAAATTGGTTTATGTATCACTGCTGTGATTGAGGGGGAGTGAGTAGGAACTCAGGTTTAAGTTGTACTTAGATTGGAATTGCATTGGGTAGGTCTTAAGTGAAGGAGATAAACTGGTTGGTTTATTCCTGAATTAAAATCTCTTATAGTGGATTTCCTCCCTGGCTTGGTAGCCCCCAGAGTAGGTGTTGTTGCACACTGAACTGGGTAAACAATTGACTGTGTTCTTTATTGCTTTTGTATTTACTGTCATATAGTAAGTCAGATACGGTGTCATAACATTGAACGTGACATTGAGTATCTGCAGCCAGAATTTCAATTGGCATCAGAGCAGGCACCCTGCCTGTATTACTGGGTGAGATCTAGGGATATCACTTTCTGGCACTATGGACAAAGAAGGAGTTTTTGGAAATAGACCACCCATTCTGGATGGAACTAATTATGACTACTGGAAACCTCGTATGATTGCCTTCCTAAAATCTCTGGACAAAAAGGCTTGGAGAGCTGCTGACAAAGGATGGATTCATCCCACCATAACTGAGAAAGATGGGACAATCAGTCTGAAGCCTGAGGAAGATTGGAGTAAAGAAGAAGATGAGTTAGCTCTGGGAAATTCAAAAGCTCTAAATGCCTTGTTCAATGGAATTGATAGAAACATTTTCAAACTAGTACATCAATATGAACTGGCCAAGGAAGTTTGGGACACTCTCAGAACTACTCATGAGGGAACTTCCAAAGTAAAAATGTCAAGGCTTCAGATGTTGACCACCAAGTTTGAGAATCTAAAAATGATGGAAGATGAAACCATTCATGAGTTTCACATGAACATCTTGGAAATTGCCAACACCTCAGGAGCACTGGGAGAAAAGATGTCAGAAGAAAAACTGGTGAGGAAGATTCTCAGATCCTTGCCTAAAAGATTTGCAATGAAGGTAACTGCCATAGAGGAAGCCCAGGACATTAGCAAGTTGAAAGTGGATGAACTTATTGGGTCTCTTCAGACTTTTGAGATGGGAATCACTGATAATGGTGTCAAGAAGAACAAGAGCATAGCACTTATGTCCAACACTGATGTTGAAGAAAACATTTCAGAAGATGTAGCCATGCTTGGAAGACAGTTCAACAAACTCATCAAAAGAATAGATCCAAAGTCAAGGTCTAATGTTCATAACATTCCCTCTAACATTGACAGTTCCAGCAGAAGACCAAGGTCAGAAGAGAAGGGAATTCAAGGCAGAGGAATTCAATGCCATGGTTGTGAAGGATATGGGCATATTCGAGCTGAATGTCCTACCTTTCTTAAGAAACAAAAAGGAATGACAGTTACTTGGTCTGACTGTGATTCAGAAAGTAATTCTGAAGAAGAGACTGCCAAACGAGTTACTGCTTTAACTAGTGTTTGTACCTCTGAAAGTGACATCAGTGATGAAAAGGTGACTTTTGAAGAACTGGCTGATACTTACAAGGAATTGTGTATCAGAAGTACTGAAGTCTGTGTGCAGAATGAGAAACAATCAAAACTCATTATAAAGCTGGAGGCTGGAAAAAGGGCAAATCTTGAAACTATAAGTCGTCTAGAAGGAGAAGTTCAATTGCTGAACTCACAACTGAATCAAATGACCAAATCTGTCAAGATGTTGACAAATGGAACAGACAAATTGGAAGAGATCCTTCAGGTTGGACAAAATATGGGAAATAAATCTGGACTAGGATTTATGGAAGCAAAGAAATCTGGTACTGGTAAGCAAATGTCAAAACAGATGTCTCAACACAACTCTCAACATCAGGAACAGAGACATATGAAGAAAAGGTACCAAAGATGGAAATGTCATCATTGTGGGAGATATGGTCACATAAAGCCCTTCTGCTTCAGATTACATGGATACCCTAATCAGAACTCAGGTGTCAAACCTAAGTCTAAAAAGGTACCACATGCTCCTCAATGGAAGAAAAAGGCTACTGCACTGATAGCTCACACTTCCCTGAGGGTCTCTGCAAAGGAAGACTGGTACTTTGACAGTGGATGTTCCAGACACATGACTGGAATCAAGAACCTCCTCAATAATGTTAAGCCTCACACCACCAGTTTTGTGACCTTTGGAGATGGGGCTAAAGGTGAAATCAAAGGAGTTGGTGATTTGGACTGCCCTGGAGTTCCAAGTCTGAATGAAGTACTGCTGGTGAAAGGGCTGACCGCTAATCTCATTAGTATCAGTCAACTGTGTGATCTAGGATTCAAGGTCAATTTCTCAAAATCTGAATGCCTTGTAATCAATGACAAACAAGAGATAGTAATGAAAGGAGTCAGATCCAAAGACAACTGTTACTTGTGGGAGCCTGAGAACACTAATTTCTCATATGTGTGTTCCATTGCAAAAGAAGAAAAAGAGGTGAAACTGTGGCACCAAAAACTTGGCCATCTTCATCTAAGGGGTATGAAGAGGATTATCTCCTTGGAGGCAGTCAGAGGGATTCCAAAACAGCAAATTGATGAAGGAAGAGTTTGTGGTGAATGTCAGGTTGGTAAGCAGACTAGGATGTCACATCCAAAGTCAAGACATCTGACCACCTCTAAGGTTCTAGAACTCCTCCATATGGATCTGATGGGACCAATGCAAGTAGAGAGTCTTGGTGGTAAAAGATATGCCTATGTGGTTGTGGATGATTTTTCCAGATTCACCTGGATTAATTTCATTAGGGAAAAATCAGATGCATTTGAAGTTTTTAGAGAACTGTGCAAGAGAATTCAAAGAGAGAAGGAAGGATGTATTGTCAGAATCAGAAGTGATCATGGCAAGGAATTTGAAAACAGCAAGTTTGATGACTTCTGTTCTTCAGAAGGAATCAGTCATGAGTTTTCTTCTCCTATAACACCTCAGCAAAATGGAGTTGTGGAAAGAAAAAACAGGACCATACAAGAATCTGCCAGAGCAATGTTACATGCCAAAAGACTTCCTATGTATTTTTGGGCTGAAGCTATGAATACAGCTTGCTATGTTCATAACAGGGTCACCTTGAGAAAGGGAACCTCATCCACCATATATGAACTCTGGAAAGGAAGAAAACCAACTGTGAAGTACTTCCATGTGTTTGGCAGCAAATGCTATATTCTGTCTGATCGTGAACAAAGA